CAAAATATCTCTACCAACTGTGACTATTTTTCTTTGTTTCCTATACTGTTCTCCCAACTCTACCAACTATTTGGAACTCTTTGACTATCTCACTTCTTGCCATGAGTCGTTGCTATCTACACACCCCAACACCGAGATCCTCTACCTAGTGGATTTCAATGTACATCACAGAGAGTGGCTTGGCTCTGCAAGGGATGACCCAGGTGGAGCTGAGGCACTCTCGTTTTCCTTACTTAATGATCTGGAACAAATAATTAAACACCCTACACGCGTTCCTGATCGACACGATCAACTTATTAACATTCTTGATCTTTGTCTTACCTCTAACTCCTCACACTATTCATACTCAATTTCCACCCCCTTAGTGTCTTCTGATCACAATCTTATTTTTATTAAATCAATCTGGGCACGACCACCTCCCCCACCCCTCTCAACGCCAACTATGACACTATCGGAAGGCAGACTGGCAATCATTGCAAGAATTCTTCTCCGACTTTCCTTGGTAGACACTGACCTGGCTGTTTTAAAACTGCTATCCCACCACTGCCACTCGGGAGGTTATATCCTCTTAATCATCAACCACTGGCAGATTTATTGCCACCACCCCTTAATCACCAGCTATGTTAGTGAGTATGGGGAAATGATTAATTTCAAGGTTCACTGTGCTATAAGTCACTTGGTATTTTTTCTCACAAGTAGTGTAATTCTACAGGATTAAGTAAACAACAAATTACACTATTTACATTTATTAACAAAATAAACTAACATGTATATGAAAGGAGGTGATTAATTATTGTGAAAGGTTTCACTATTAAATACACTTAGGCTTACCTCCTTGGTCAATCCACTTACAAACTTCTAAGGGTTATTTCGCCAGAGTCCATAAGTCTCGCAACTAATGTTGGAGGGCTTATGGTTAGTGGGGCACGACCTCTCTCTATGAAGGCTCCTCGCACACTCATGCTAAACATGTGGTTACATATCAGAGACTCTGCTCCTGCCGGAAATATTGCCGACTTAGTACTAACAATCACCAGTTTCTCTGCTGGTCATCATACCTGGCCAGCATCTAGCAGGGCTGGCCATAGCCTGGCCCGCCTGGCCCACTTGGGTCAGACTCGCTAGCCACCTCCGTCACAATCAACATAACATTCAACACGTCTCTCAGTCAACGAGTTTATTCAATAACTCCCACACCCAGACCCTGCTAATACTACCCAGACCCTGCTAGTACTACCCAGACCCTGCTAGTACTACCCAGACCCTCCTAGTACTACCCAAACCCTGCTAGTAATACCCAGACCCTGCTAGTATTACCCAGACCCTGGCGAGTACTACCCAAACCATGCTAGTACTACCCAGACCCCGGCGAGTACTACCCAAACCATGCTAGTACTACCCAGACCCCGGCGAGTACTACCCAAACCATGCTAGTACTACCCAGACGCCGGTGAGTACTACCCAGCCCCGGTGAGTTTTTTTTTTTTTTTTTTATACGGGGAATAGCCCACCCGGGCACAGGTCATCTTCCCACAACGTGACCTGGGGGGCGACAAATAAGAGTAAAAAGGAATTAAAAATAGAAAAGAAAAAGGCTATATTAATCTACAGTGCACCACGAAGACTATATGAGTGTGGAAACATAGAAGAAGGCAGAGCATTTCACAGTTTGGCTGTGTGAGGAAAGAAGGATGTACTATTACGGGTTATTCTAGTGTGACAGACATCCACAGAGAAACGGTGGGCTCACAGGCAAGACGAGTGTTATGAGCCCACGGCCTTGCTGGTGGTACACAGGATGCCAAATCCACCGAACATTGCCCGTTAAAGTACCTGTAAAAGAGAGAGAGTGAAGCAACATTGCGGCGAAGAGAAAGGGAAGAAAGATTATCAACTAAAGGAGGAAAGTTAATAAGACGAAATGCCTTTGATTCCACCCTATCTAACAGCTGGACAGAAGAAGAGCCACCGCAGATATGAGAGCAGTACTCCAAGTTAGGACGATTGAATCCCTTATATACTTGAAGCAACTGCTCAAGAGTAAAGTAGCTACGGCATCTGTACAGCATTCACAGCTTTCGGGAGGCAGCTTCAGCAATGTTGTGGATGTGTGGTTGTCTTGACCCCGGCGAGTATTATCCAGACCCCAGTGAGTACTATCCCGACCCCAGTGAGTACTGTCCAGACCCCTTCCAGACCCTGCTAACACTATCCAGACCCCTGTGAGTGCTATCCAGACCCCTTGGAAGTACTATCCAGACCCGACGAGTACTATCCAAACCCCAGTGAGTACTATCCAGACCCTGTCGAGCACTATCCAGACCCCGGTAAGTACTATCCAGACCCTGGCGAGTACTATCCATACACCAGCGAGTACTATCCAGACCCTGGCGAGTACTGTCCATTCCCTGGCGAGTACTACCCAGACCCGGCGAGTACTATCCAGACCCTGGCGAGTACTATCCAGACCCCGGCGTACTATCCAGACCTGGCGAGTACTCTCCAGACCCTAGAGTACTATCCAGACGTCTGCGAGTACTATCCAGACACTGGCGAGTGCTACCAGACCCTGGCGAGTACTATCCAGACCCCCGGCGAGTACTATCCAGACCCTGGCGAGTACTATCCAGACCCTGGGGAGTACTATCCAGACGCCTGCGAGGACTATCCAGACACTGGCGAGTGCTACCAGACCCTGGCGAGTACTATCCAGACCCTGGCGAGTACTATCCAGACCCTAGCGAGTACTATCCAGACCCTGGGGAGTACTATTCATACCCTGGGGTACTATTCCCTGGCGAGTACTATCCAGACCCAGGCGAGTACTATCCAGACCCTGGTACTACTCAGACCCTGGCGAGTACTACTCAGACCCTGGCAGAGTACTATCCAGACCCTAGCGAGTACTATCCAGCCTGGGGGTACTATTCATACCCTGGCGAGTACTATCCAGACCCAGGCGAGTACTATCCAGACCTGGCGAGTACTACTCAGACCCAGGCAGTATTCTGCAGACCCTGGCGAGTACTATCCAGACCCTGGCGAGTACTACTTAGACCCTGGCGAGTACTACCAGACCCTGGCGAATACTATCCAGACCCAGGCGAGTAATCTGCAGACCCTGGCGAGTACTATCCAGACCCTAGCGAGTACTATCCAGACCCTGGCGAGTACTATTCATACCCTGACGAGTACTATCCAGGCGCTGGCGAGTACTACCCAGACCCCGGCGAATACTAAACAGTGGAACATTTGTCCTTCACGCAAGATGAAAAACATTTTAATGAATAACTAATAAATATGTATAATCATCAACCATCACAATAGTGTTATATCATAGCCAATTTCTCATGTTGACCTATACTATAGTATTAGGGTAAACACGAAGTGCTATCATAAAAACATTTAATTCAATTCAAATATAATAATAATAATAATAATAATAATAATAATAATAATAATAATAATAATAAACGGTTTATTAATAGAGTTGCAGCCGGTGGCTGAAAATATACAGACTTACATTTGATTTAGACATAATGATATAATATGCATTGAATACATTTACAGGGCTGTACAGTACATAAATCAGGAGTTGTTTATTATTTTAACAATAGATGGGATGGTGCTGTTCTTATATCTATCGGTGCGGACTCTTATGGGCTGAATTTTGTTGTAGTGGCGGACTGCTCGAGTTGGGTGGGGGGCTGCAGGTGGCAGGAGGTGGCGATGACGAGGGTGGTGCAGTAGTCCACTGCCAAACCTTTCCAGTGCTTGGTGGTGGAGGTCAATCAGGGATGGCATTTCCAGGGTGGAGAGAGCGTTGGTGTAGCCGGAGTATTCTGTGCTGAGCATGAATCTGCAGGCCCTTTTCTGTACCTTCTCTAGCTGACGTTGTTGGGTGGAGTTGAGAGAAGACGACCAGGCTGGTGGCGCATATGTAAGTTTGGGGAGAATAAAGGCGTTGTAGATGATCCTCAGCTCTGGCGTGGGTGTCCCAAGTGACCTAAGTCGTCGTAGTATGTAGAGACGGTACGAGGCTGCCTTGACTGTGTTATTTACATGGGCCTTCCAGTCAAGTTTGTTGTCCATAGTTACACCCAAGAGTTTGGCAGACTGCACCAGCTGGAGAGGATGGGCACCCATTGTGACTGCTGGGGCTTGCACTGGAGTGGTGGCGGTATTGATGTGCATGACTACGGTTTTGGTGTGGTTGATGGTGACCTTGCTCTCCGTAGTCCATGCCTGTAGCCTGTCCAGGGTGCCTTGTAGCGATGAGTAGTCTGGTGCGGTGTTGTCCACTGAAACCCCTACAGTGCAGTCATCCACGTACTTCCACCTGTGAGGAGTGTCCGATAGAGCGTCGTTGATCAGGATGAGGAAGCACAGTAGTCCCATCTTGGTCCCCTGGGGAACATCGCAGGTGAGGTGTTGGAATGTAGAGACCAAGCCCTCATACCTCACTGCCTGGCGACGTCCACTCAAGAGATCAGTGAGCCATGAGACCAGGTTGGCCTTCCTGAAGTCCACAAGGGCAACGGCCAGTGATGTCTTACGTTTCTGCAAGTTTTTGTGCAGAAAATCCAGAAAGCTCACCAAGCTGTATGATGTAGAGGAGGTCCTTATATTGCCAAATTACTGTGGATCAATTGACTGATAGATACTGGCAAATGCCCCCTCAAAAACAAAGTCCTCACAAAGTAGACTGGGTATGGGGGTAATGGCAACTGGCCTGAGGTCGTTAAGGGACTGTGGGGTGGTGACCTTGGGGATGGGGGTGACAAATGCGGTTTTCCATTCATTAGGGCATTTGCTTTGTCTGAGGGATGCATTAATAATAGAACTGAGGGGGTGGCAAGTTCGACTGCAAACTCCTTGTATATTTTGATTGGGAGGTCAATTGGGGTCGTGGAGCGTTTGGATTTAAATTTCAGGAGTTTGTTGGCGATTTCATATGGTTGAACACTGGGAGGGGGGGAGGGGGAAGGTAAGTAATAACATTATGCTACAAAATAGCACAACTATTATCTCTTGTCATATTGGTTAATAAGTCATCATGTGTCGCCCCTTTAGGTGTGATCTGCAGGCAGGACTAACGCGGTGTCACCAGTGTGTGTACTGGACGCTACTGACGTCCCTTCTCCTGTCTGAGTACCACTCAAGTCTGCTGCAGACGCCCCGACAGCAACAAGACCAGTTACTGGTCTTCCCAGACCTGCCAATCCTCTACTTGTGAGACCACTTAACCCACCACCACCTAGACCACTTAACCCACCACCACCTAGACCACTTAACCCACTACCACCTAGACCACTTAATCCACCACCGCCTAGACCACTTAACTCACCACCACCTAGACCACTTAACCCACCACCACCTAGACCACTTAACCCACCACCACCTAGACCACTTAACCCACCACCACCTAGACCACTTAACCCACCACCAGCTAGACCACTAAACCCACGCCCATTTAGTCCACTTAGCAATCTACTACTTAACCCACCACCACCCAGATTACTTAACCCGCTACCAAAATCACTTAGAGTTCCTAAACCGCCCGGTCCCTTTCCGGAAACAGACAAATCACTGAGCCCAACCACAGTACCACTATCAGAGCCACTCGACCCACCTCCTATACTACCAAGTCCTGGAATAGAACTGCCAAAGTTTCCTAAGTTGGCCAAGTTCCCAAATCCTGTCAGTCCTAAACCAGACAACCCTGAGAAAATCCCGAGGCCGGCTCCCTGCTGCTGCTGACCTGAGATACCCTGGCCACTGATTGTGAGTGACAGCTCTGGTGATGATGACTGACCACCTTGCTGACCTAGATTTACGCCCAGACTAGACAAGAGTTCAAGGTAGCCTAGACCACCTAATCCAGGGTTTTGTTGCTGCCCAAACTGATGTGAATCTCCACCCAAGCTGCCTAAACCCTGGTTATGACTGAATCCCTCTATACTCTCGATGTTGCTACTAAGACCACCAAGGTTGGGCACATTTCCTCTTCCTAACAAACTGGAGAAAGCAGAGGTGTGTCCGTCCACACCGCTGGTAGCCACAGGAACTTCACCTTGTAATGATGGTTGCTGCTGGTCCTTACTGCCAGCAAAACCAAGCAGGTTAAATTTTTTGAGGAAAGCCACACCAGCTGGGCTTAGTGAACTGTGTAGCGGTGAAGGCCTGGTCGACTGGGACAATACAGTGCTACTTTTAAGGACTGTGGATTTGGGTTCTGCTCTAGTGATCCCTAAATTTAGTGGGGGAGCTGCACCTAACAGAGGATTGGTTGTGGTGGTGTAGACTGGTAGTGGTACAGCTGCTACGGTGTGTGGCTTAGGGATAATATATGCTGCAATTGCTGGGGAAGAAACGGATTTATTTAAAGCTACTTCTGGGACCAGAGATGGAAATGTGGTGATTGAGACTGGAGGTATTACCGTGGTTCCCGAGGCTGAAGATGTAGGCATAGTTGTCAGAAATAGGGGTTTAGGTGTAGCTGGTGTTGGAGGTATGGGAGTAGCTGGTGTTGGAGGTATGGGTGTAGCTGGTGCTGGAGGTATGGGTGTAGCTGTTGTTGGAGGTATGGGTGTAGCTGGTGCTGGAGGTATGGGTGTAGCTGTTGTTGGAGGTATGGGTGTAGCTGGTGCTGGAGGCATGGGTGTAGCTGTTGTTGGAGGTATGGGTGTAGCTGGTGCTGGAGGTATGGGTGTAGCTGTTGTTGGAGGTATGGGTGTAGCTGGTGCTGGAGGTGTGGGTGTAGCTGTTGTTGGAGGTATGGGTGTAGCTAGTGCTGGAGGTGTGGGTGTAGCTGTTGTTGGAGGTATGGGTGTAGCTGGTGCTGGAGGTATGGGTGTAGCTGGTGCTGGAGGTATGGGTGTAGCTGGTGTTGTAAGTATGGGTGTAACTATTGTTGGAGGTATGAGTGTAGTCAGTTTTCGAGGTGTGGAAGTAACAGTAATCTTTGTAGCTGTAGATAAGGATGGTGGGGAGGGGGAGGAAGATGTAGGCGCCATCGTAGACCCGCTGCGTGTCACTTTAGTGTAAGTAGAGGAATAATGACGGTGAGATGAGGTTGTCGTGAGATCAACGCTGCTAGAGTTATCAAGAGAAGAATTAGCGTTTTTAGCAGCCTCAGCGGCTTTAGTTCTTTCTTGCACTTGTGAAAATAATTTTCTGATGCGCTGCAGGTCAATGTTGGTGTTAGCGACAGACGATGCAGGAGGCTGAGCCGTTGTGTGAGTGGTTTGTGAGGTGTTGGACTGTGTGGTAGACAACAACCTTAATGTCGTGTATTCAGGATTGGGAGTCCATTGGTCATTACGTGAGTCATCAGGACGGTTCTTGGATCGTGCAGAAAGTGGGGTGATGAGAGTAGCTGAGGAAGACTTCTGCAGTTGTCTTGGGTGTTGTGGCCGCACGTATCGGGGACGGGCCCGTAACCTTTTCCCCGCTCCATGTTGGTCCCTGTGGGCGCTGCGCCCCCCTTGAATACTGGAAGGACGGCGGTACCGGCCCCGTACGCGGGCACCCAGTTGGAAACTAATGGGGCGAAGAGTTCGAGGAGCGTCGCTCTGGGAGGTTGGCAGAATCTGTTGAGGCTGGATGGTTGGAGTCGACAACGGCACCTAACCAAATAAAAGAAACTTATGTTGGTTAACAATGATCAGCTTTTGTCATCAATAATAAAACTATATAAATTAATCCCCTATAGTAAGAGATATTCCCAATGGTCTGTGACAACTGAGAGTATCAGTAAATTCGCCAAGTCTCCATTGATTTAAGACTTCTAAATCGGCAGAACACAGGGAAACATAATGTAAATAACTTAATATTTAATTTTTGCCTTTATATTTAACATGTTTTTTTTTATGTTTTATATCACCACCATTACCATAGCCATTACCAGGCGGGGGAGACCGCCAGTCAAATGTTTAGCATCTCGAGTGACTGGTCACGCCAAATATCAATGTACAAATTTGTCTAAGTCGGCAGGTTTAACTGTTGCTTGCAGGAAGCTTTAGAATGTGTAGTGAAGTACGAGGTACCAAGAACAGTGAAGATAAACGGTGTGCTGAGAGTTTCAACCTTTTATAACTGAGGGAACAATTTCATTGGGCGAGGGTCCTAAGAAAAATATTGTGATTTTGAAGGACACGGGAGCTAACCAAGGCCTAGTCCTCAGAAAATCATCAGAGTGGACAGAAGATTCATATTCTAGTGAAGAGGTTGGAGTGAGAGGGTTAGGAGCAGGGTTGACTATTCCACTGCATTATGTAAACCTTGAAACAGGATTTGTTGGAGGTGAGGTTAAAGTGGGTGTAGTGACGAACTTCTCATACAAGGTATAGACATGTTGTTGGGCAATGATTTGGCTGGTGACAAGGTGGTCTCAGAAACAAAAATGGTTGAGAATCAGCTTGAAATTATTGATAGTGACCATACAAATTCGTCATTGAGTGAAAGGCCCATGTATGAGGCGCCAAATATTTCTTCTGTGTGTGAGGAGGAGGTTATTGATACTTGTCTGTTAAATGTGTACCCTGCATGTGTAGTCATGTAGGGATGATGTGATGAGGATTTGAAGTTAAGTGATTTGTTTAATCAGAATAAAAAATGTAATGTGGAAAATTGTGAGAAGGTCAAGTTTAAAGTGACTCACACCCGGAATTTTAAACACCCTCTTCCGTTGAAGAGGGTCGTCGTGTTTCAACCCGAGTTTAAAAAAAAAAAATGAGTCCCGAAGGACACCGCAGTACAGTACTTGACTGGGTGGTGGTAAATCTTTGGCGAAGATCCAACGCCGGGAGTGTTATCGCCGCTGGCTTCAGCTACAGTGCTGTCGTGTGCTACCATTAAATCTTTCGACCTGTGACCTCGCCAGATGTAGAAGTGTTTACAGACACTTCTGCGGGTGGCGGGGCAGCCCGCCCCGGCATGACGCAGATCGCCCTCTCTAGTGATTGCTGTGAAGACCAGCCTTCTGCTCTACACCAACTCACAATCCTTTCCGAGTTTTGTGCTGGGACAATTTACGCAGTACTGTTGTCTCTTGGAACACCATACTGACCTGCACTTGTAAGTACAGCCAAAGTGATGACGTACCCCTCAGTACTGAAATATTGTTGACTAATTACGCCTACTCGTTTCTGCCTTATCTGGAGCAATAAGACAATGCGGAATGAAGCGTAACTAAGATTAATAGAGTTATGAACTTTCTGTAATGTCACTATGTTTAATAAATTATAATTAAGATAAAATTGTGTGAGACTCACTAATTATGTATTAGAAGGATCACTAATCATGACTAATGAACGCCTTGTTCTCTGCAGGTTTTGACCATATCAATAAATATTGAATGCGTCAAAAGGCGGGTTTCAATCATTCCCTTCGACTTGCCCGTCACCTGAACGTCCTTAACCAAGACGTTTACACCTATCATCACCACCACTACCATCTCTACAAACATCACCACTACTATCACCACGAACATCGCCGCCACTACCATCACCACCACTATCATCACCACCACTATTATCACCATTACCATCATCACTACTACCATCACCACCACCACTATTACTGCCACCACAAACATGACCACCATTACCATCACCATCACTATTATGACCACTACCATCATCACCACTACCATCACCACCACTACCATCACCACCATTACCATCACCACCACAAGCATCACCACCAATATCATCACCACCACTATTATCACAACTACCATCATCACCACTACCACCACCACCACTACCGTCACCACCACTATTATCACCATTGCTACCTTAAGGTGACGTTGTTATGTTAACTCTCACCTCCTGCTGTTCTCCTTGGTCCTGTTGCTGTTGTTGGTTGTCCTGTTTCTTCCTTTGCTGCTGTATAGAGCGTTGTAGCTGCTGTTGTGTTTGTGCATGAAGTTGACTCTGCCGCGCCAACAGTTTAAAAAGTTGTTGCCTTGGTCGCACCGCTTTTGTTACCGGCTGGAGTGGTGAGTGTTGGGATGATGGCAGTATTATATCTGCTGGACGTCCCGCATCAACAGTTGATGTTTTAGCTGTGGCCCTTTCTGGGTGGTGAGGGGTCGGCCGGCTGACCAGTGGTGGCAACCTTTGTACACTGGGTCGCTGTGGATCCTGTTGCTGCTTCTGCTGCCCCTGATGTTGTTGTTGCTGCTTCTGCTGCCCCTGATGTTGATGTTGCTGCTTCTGCTGCCCCTGATGTTGTTGTTGCTGCTTCTGCTGCCCCTGATGCTGTTGTTGCTGCTTCTGCTGCCCCTGATGTTGTTGTTGCTGCTTCTGCTGCCCCTGATGTTGATGTTGTTGTTGCTGCCTCTGTTGTTCCTGATGTTGATGTTGTTGTTGCTGCCTCTGTTGCTCCTGATGTTGATGTTGTTGTTGCTCCCTCGGCTGCTCCTGATGTTGTTCTTGCTGCTTCTGCTGCTCCTGATGTTGTTGTTGCTCCCTCTGCTGCTCCAGATGTTGTTGTTGCTCCCTCTGCTGCTCCTGATGTTGTTGTTGCTCCCTCTGCTGCTCCTGATGTTGTTCTTGCTTCCACTGCTGCTCCTGATGTTGTTGTTGCTGCAGCTGCTGTGAACTTGACACTGCTCTCGTAGCCGTCACGTACACCGCCATCACTGGAAGATGAAATTAAAAGTTAATTAAAACCGACTTATATTTTTATTACGCAAATTAAAGTGACGTAGCGGGATCGTGAGTCACGTGTATGTATTGTTATTATTTTTAAAGTTATCACTTTATATTCCTGCTCTATTTTTTTCTTAATTCAGATGATGAATGGGAATTAAGGCTGCTGCTCTAGCCAATAAACATTTAAATATGATGGATTTAAAGGAACGCCTGCAGTTATCTTACTTTAGCTACAGACAGGCAAGGGGTGTGTCACGGATTCATGGCAGGGAGAGATAAATGTATTTTCTTATTTTCTTACCGTAGAGTTCAGGTACCTTCACACTGGTTACTCACCCAGGATATTATAGTGTATCACTACGTAGAAATTTACTCCACCGCCCGACATTCCACATGATTTATCCATCTAAGTTATTGGTTATACTTTGTCATAACCAATCAGGCATTACCTTTAGTAATAACAAGATGGGGATCACAGATACGGGCAGATAATTGCACTTACATTTATTTGGCAAGGTTCCATACACTGATTTACAATTTGCATGGATATATGAGTCACTCACATTCATGCCGTAATAGAAGTAATATCTACCCCCTCCCAGGTGAGGGGGTAGATATGGCACTTTTTCAGGTTTGTCTTAAGACTATCCCTATACCTTTTCAGTTGCCCGCCAGCGTTATGTTTATTATTTGTTGGGTGACTGTACAGTATAGTAGCCGCTTTGGTAGTCTACTGTAGTCCATGCAGGTAACATGGCCAGTCCAGTGTAGTTGTTCATGGATAATGGTAGCCTCGATGCTCCTACAGTTGATGTCAGCGAGAATGTTAGCATTTGTTCTCTTGTCTTTCCTGCGAACGCGGAGGATGGAACGTAGACTACAAAAGTGAAAGTTTTCAAGTGCCTTGAGTTTTTTTTTTTTTTTTTTTTTTTACGTGAATTAGCCCACCCGGGCACAGGTCAAACGACCCACAACGGGGCCTGGGGGGCGAAAAAAACACAGAAAGAAATTGAAAATAGAGAAGAAAAAGGTTATACTGTGTTAATCTACACCACGAAGAGGTGTCTCCTGTATGTGACCAATGTCTCGCTGCTATATAGCAGGGTGGGGAGGACCAATGCTCGATATACGTGCAACTTTGTAGATAATTTCAGCTCCCTACAGCTGAAGACACGGGTACAAAATCTGCCAAGGGCTTCAAATGCACATGTGATCCGATGTTGAGTCTCTTCATCGATATCCACGGTGGTGGACAGGTGGGAGCTGGATACCCAAAGTGGATAACATTAAGAAGAGTAGTACCGTTAAGCTGGATGGATGGTGGAGGTGTGTCTGAACCAGGGTCAGGCTGAAAGAGAATCTGAGTCTTACATACATTCACCTCAAAGCCGAAGTGTGCATATGCATCTTCATAGGTATTCAGGATCTCTTGCTGGTCGCATTTAGTGTGAGTGACAAAGGTGAGGTTGCCTGCATAATGAAGTTCAGTAATGGAAGCTGCCGACACCTTTGTTCCTGCCTGGAGTCGTCTTTTGTTGAAAAGACCTTTCATCTGGTACTGGATGTCCACTCCACCAGCTAAATTGACACTGGTGCGAGTAAGGAAGGCAGCAAGAAAATGGAAAAGAGAGTTGGTGCCAGTACACATCCTTGTTTTATCCCTTGGTTAGGTCGATGAAAGCCATGTACAGGTCACGATGCTGTTCTATGCACTTTCCCTGTAGCTGGCAGGCAGCAAAACTCATGTCAGTGGTGCCACGTGATGGTCTAAAGCCACAATGAGATTCGGGGAGGAAGTTTTCCGCCTTAGGAAGGAAGAAGTCTGTTTAGGAGGACTCGGGCAGTAATTTGGACAGCTACGGACAGCAGCGAGGTCCCGGGGTAATTGCCACAGTCTAACCAGGGTCTTTAAGAGCTTGGGGGGATTCCTCCTTTTCACATATATTCTGCAGGAGACAGTGAAGACGGCTTGTAAGCAGTGCTTCTCCTGATTTATACACCTCGGCTTGGATTCTATCAGGTCCCTGTGCTTAATTATTTTTAATTTGCTTGATGGCAGTAGCTACCTCATCCAGGGATGGAGGATAGTTGAGATGGCTCAGCTCTGGATGCTGAGGGATTCTGCTGGGTAGTCAGGACATCTACATCGGTGTTTTGGTTGAGCAGCGAATGATAATGCTCTTTCCAGCACTGAAGAATGCCTTCTTCTTCTTTTATTAGGGAGTTATCCTCGGAAGAGCAGCGGGGGGCTGCCCCATGAGTGATTGGTCCATAAAATGTTTTAGTGGAATTGAAAAATTTGCACATCTTGTGCTCATATGCAAATTTTACTTGCTTTATTTTTAAACCAGTAGTTCTTTAGTTTGCGAATATCATGCTGGGCCACCGCTTTCTTCTTGCGGAAGGCATCGGCTTTAGTCCAGGACTGAGGGTTGTTCTGCTAGTCAGTTAAAGCAGCACGTTTATCATCGACGAGTACATTGATTTCCGGGTCATTTTCATCAAACCAGTCCTGGTGTATTCTCTCAATCTGGTCGAGGGTCTCTCTCTGCAGGCTTTTGTCTTGATAGTGTTGATACTACCCCTGGTTGTTTATCAGCTCATGTTCGAGCTGCTCTCTGAAAGCATGTGCTACCGCTGGATCCTCCACATGCTTAGTATTAAAACCTCTTCTGGAGGCTTGTTTTTGTTTCTGTTTTTGAGCGACATAAAGTGAGAGCTTGGCCATGACAAGCGATGATTAGTGTCACAGTGGTCTGAGCCACGCATGGCTCTGGTGAAGCGAACATCTCGGCGATCTCTTTCTTTGACAATGATGTAGTCAATGAGATGAAAGTGTTTGGATCTTGGGTGCTGCCATGAACCCATGAACTTGTTGGCCTGTCTAAATAAGGTATTGGTGATAGTGAGGTTGTGTGCTGAGGAGGAGTAGGCCATTGGGGTTACACTTACCTAGTCCATTTCTCAATAAGATTCCCTGCCAAATGTCAGCAAATGTCAGCAATGCCAATTCTAGCATTGAAGTCACCAAGTAGCACAACCTTGTCTTCTCTGGGGATAAAGGTTAGCACTCTGACAAGGTAAAAGGCCTCCTTGATGTCATCTTCCTCATCCAATGTTTGGGAGTATGCACTGATGAAAAAGGCATGACGTGAATTATTCAATGGGGCTCGGAGCGTCATGAATCGCTCATTGTTCCCAACAGGCATTTCATTTAGCTTGTGTAGGACACGTTGATTGATGGCAAAGCCAAGTCCATAAATGTGGTTTCTCTCCACAGCAGGCTTACCCTTCCAGAAGAAGATATAGCCAAACCCCTGTTTTGTGAGTCAACCCTTGTCTGGGAGCCGGGAGTCACTAATGGCTGCTCTGTCAATATATATATATATATATATATATATATATATATATATATATATATATATATATATATATATATATATATATATATATATATATATATATATATATATATATAATCAACAACCTCACCAGCTAGGACTTGAACCCTCAACCTACTGCGTGTGACCAGAGAATGTTACCGACCATGCCACAAGGACACTAAAAGCAGTCCTAAACTAAGTTATATGGACTAAAAATGAAGTATATATGGTACCTCGTGTTTCATACCAGCTGGATTCGGTAAAATGCTACTTGCCACCACATAAGCAGCACGGGCAGTTCCCAAGAGAAGGTTCACGGCGCCATCAGCTCGATGAACAGGCTTTGTGTGAAATATAACATAGTGTCCTTGTGGCATGGTCGGTAACGTTCCCTGGTCACACTCAGTAGGTCAAGGGTTCGAATCCTGGCTGGTGAGGTCGTTGATTATATGTTCAAAGTCTGCGTGTTATATGGACTAAAAATGAAATATATATATATATATATATATATATATATATATATATATATATATATATTTAATGTAGATCCACATTGAAAACGTGGATAAGATAAGATTTCCCTTTTCCCGTGTGAATTTATCAAGATATATATATATATATATATATATATATATATATATATATATATATATATATATATATATATATATATATATATATATATATATATATATAACCACAAGGAAAGAAGAAAACATGAAGTTCCCAAAGCGCTTTCGTGTAATTCACATCTTCAGGGGTGAGTACAGACTAAGAAGAAGTACAAAACAAAGGTGTATATATACAGAGGAGGGTGAGATCAGGTCCACAATGGTCAGGTATTAGGTAATGACCCTACTAATCTTTAAAATGCACAGCAACGGTCGGTAGTCAGGTCAGAGGGTGGAGTGTTGACCCTTCTCACCTGGTTACAAATCTTCTTAATTACAAAATTGTCCAGTTTGTACATGCCATTACTCAAATTCATGTTGACTGCTTCGGTATGTTTAATGAGACTAGATTCTATAATGTTCCTACTGTCATTGAATTACAAGGTAATATTGAGGCATTATCCCAGTCAATGCAATGATTATTATCCCTCAGATGAACAAACAGAGCATTGGATTCTGGCCTGTCCTAACACTATATTTATGTTGTTTAAGTCTAGTTACAAGATCTTTACCTGTCTGGCCTAAGTAAAACATATTACATTCCTTGCAAGGAACTTTATAAATGCAACCCATTGTGTTGTTGGGGAGTTCTTGATTAAAATTTGTTTAACAGTGCATGAGTTTTAAATGCCACATTGACGTTCCAGGTTTTTAGTTGTAAAGGAATTTGAGAGAAATTTTTGTGAAATGGTAATACTAAGAATTCTTATGGATCACACAACTACAGTGATTTACTTGCATATATATATATATATATATATATATATATATATATATATATATATATATATATATATATATATATATATATATATATATATATATATATATATATATATATATATATATATATATATATATATATATATAAATTCCACATCTTCAGGGTACTCACCCTGAAGATGTGTTCCCTAGCAACAGAACTTCGTGTTT